TGTAAATAAAAGTTTCACAAAAAGGAAATAAAATGTACAGTAAAAAACAAAAACTTAATAAGCAGCAACAAAAGCAAAAATACACAAAAAATTCACAGCACAAATTCCTGAGATGTTAACAACGTCAGGTTTATTAGTAAACTGTCTCACTCTCATGCAATCTCTCCTCTGTCACCTGAGAGACACATGACTGAGAGACCCATGACTGATCATAGGAATCAGCATGAAAGGGTTGTTGGGTTGAGAAGCAAATTGTTCAAGATGGGAGACGATGAAGACTAAGGTATGACTGACTGTACAAGGAACTTTGTGGGACTGAAAACAACATGGAAAATAAAATAGAAACTATGAACAAGAACCAGTTGGAAATAAAGAATACCATATCTGACATCAAGAATACACTGATAGGACCCTGGCTGGTTTGGCTCAGCCGTTGGAGCATCAGCCCACAAACCAGAGAGACCCGGGTTTGGTTCCCGCTAAGAGCACGTACCTCGGTTGCGGTTTGTCCCTGGACCTAGTTGGGGTCGTGTGGGTGGCAACCACTCAATGTGTCTCTTTCACATCGATATTTCTCTCTCTCTTCCTCCCTCTCTCCCTCCCACTCTATCTGAACAAAAAAAGGAAAAATGTCCTCAGATGAGGATAAAAAAAAAAAGAAAAACAGTCTGGTACTGGCATAAGAACAGGCATATAGATGGAGGGAACAGAACAGAGAGCCCAGAAATTAACCCACGTCTCTATGGTCAATTAATATTTGACAAAGGACACAAGAGCATACAATGGAGTAAAGACAATCTATTCACCCTGGCCAGTTTGGCTCAGCAGCTAGAGCCATCGGTCCACAGACCAATGAGTCATGGGTTCAATTCCAGTCAAGGACACATACCTCAGTTGCAGTTCATCCCTGACCCTGGTTGTGGTCATGCAGGAGGCAATAGTCAATCCGTCTCTCTCACATCGATGTTTCTTTCTTTCTCTTTCTTTCTCTCTCTCTCTCTCTCTCTCTCTCTCTCTCTCTCCCCCTCCCTCCCTCCCTCCCTCCCATCCCTCCCTCCCTCCCACTCTATCTGATGATAAACAGAAAAATATCCTCAGGTAGGATTAAGAAAAAAAAAAAAGACAATTTATTCAATAAATGGAGTTGGGAACATTGGACAGGTACACACACACACACAAAAAATGAAACTAGACCACCAACTTACATCATAAACAAGAATAAACTCAAGCCCAGTCAGTGTGGCTTAGTGGACTGAGAATCACCCCACGGACTGAAATGTCCCAGTTTGATTCCCAGTCAGGGCACATGCCCTAGTTGCGGGCTCAATCCCCAGTAGGGGGCTTGCAGGAGGCAGCCAATTAATGTTACTCTATCATATCAATGTTTCTATTGCTCTAAAAACTCAATAAAAACATTATTTAAAAAAAAGAATAAACTCAAAATGGATAAATGACTTTATTGTAAGTCACGAAACCATAAAAATCCTAGAAGACACAGACAATAAAATCTCAGACACCTCTCATAGCAATATTTTTGCCAATATCTCCTAGGGCAAGGGAAACAAAGTAAAAAATAAACAAATGGGATTACATAAAACTAAAAAGCTTCTGCACAGCAAAAGAAACCATCAACAAAATGAAAAGAAATCCCACTCTATGAAAGAAGATATTTGCCAATAATACATCTGATAAGGGGTTAATATCCAAAATATACAAAGAACTTATACAACTCAACACCAGGAAGACAATTCTTTTTTTTTTTTTTTTTTAGTCCTCACCCAAGGACATTTTTTGATATTTTGTTCTGATAGAGTGGGAGGGAGAGAGAGAGGGAGAAACATCGACGTGAAAGGGACACATCGAGTGGTTGCCACCCACATGACCCAACCAGGGCCGGGGACAAACTGCAACTGAGGTACATGCCCTTAGCGGGAACCAAACCCGGGTCTCTCCGGACCGCAGGCCGATGCTCTAACCGCTGAGCCAAACTGGCCAGGGCCAAAAAGATAATTCAATTAAAAATGGGCAAAGGTCCTGACCAATATGGCTCAGTTGGTTGAGCATGGTCCCTTGCACTGGAAGGTCCCCAATTCGATTCCCGGTCAGCAAACATGCCTGGGTTGCAGGCTTGATCCCTGGTGGGAGACATGCAGGAGGCAGTTGATTGATGTTACTCTCTCACATCGATGTTTTTCTCTCTCTTTCCCTCTGCTTTCCTATCTCTCTAAAATCAATAAAAACGTTTTTTTGTATTTTTTTTTAATGGGCAAAGGACCTGAAGAGACACTTCCCTAAAGAGGACGTAGAGATGACAAATAGGCATATAAAAAAATGCTCAACATCACTAATTACCAGAGAGACGCAAAATACAATCACAAAATGACATATCACCTCATGCCTGCCAGAATGGCTACCATCAATAAACCAACAAAAAACAAATGCTGGAGGGGATATGATGGAGCAAAGGGAAACCCAAGAACACTGCTGGTGGGAATGCAGACTGGTTCAGCCACTGGAAAAACAATATGGAGTTTCCTTAAAAAATTAAAAATAGAACTGTCTTTTGACCCAGTGATGCCACTTCTGAGAATATATTCTAAGAATCCCAAAACACCAATAAGAAAGAATATATGCATCGTTCATAGCAGCATTATTTACAATAGCCAAGATCTGGAAACAGCCCAGGTGTCCATCTGTAGATGAGTGGATAAAAAAGTTGTGGTATGCCCTGGCCGGTTTGGCTTAGCGGTTGGAGCGTCGGCCTGCGGTACAGAGAGACCCAGGTTCGGTTCCCGCTAAGGGCACGTACCTCGGTTGCAGTTTGTCCCCGGCCCTGGTTGGTCGTGTGGGTGGCAGCCACTCGATGTGTCCCTTCACATCGATGTTTCTCTCTCTCTCTTCCTCTCTCTCCCTCCCGCTCTATCTGAACAAAAAATGGAAAAATGTCCTCGGGTGAGGATTAAAAAAAAAAAAAAAAAAAAGTTGTGGTATATTTACACAGTGGAATATTATGCAGCTGTAAAAAGGAAGGAACTCTTACCTTTTGTGACAACATGAATGAACCTGGAGATTATAAAGCTAAGTGAAATGAGCCAGTCAGAGAAATACAAATATCATATCTCATTTATATGTGGGATGTAATGAACAAAATAAACTGACAAACAAAATAGAATCAGAGTCATGGATACATGGCACAGTCTGACAGACATCAGAGGGGCGGTAGGTGGGTGAATGGGATGAAAGATGGTGAAGAGAATATCCAAAAACATATATGCATAGCCTGTGGACACAGACAACAGTGTGGTTAGGGCCAGAGGGAGGCAAGAATGGGGTCTGGGTAGAAGAGGGCAAAGGGGATGAAAATGGGGGACATCTCTAATAATGTCAACAATAAAAATAATAAATAAATAAAATAAAACCATTAGTAATTTCTGTCCTTTTCTGAAGTCTACAGAGGTTCCAAAAGTCTTAGTTAATTCCCAAAAGAGTCTCAGGATCCAATCTGCTCTAGCTTAGGACTTACGCTTAATTTCTACTTTTTACATGCCTTATGATTGAAAGTATAGCACCTCTGAAACACAAAACTCTAAATTTTATGTGTATGATTCTGAAAATACATAGACCAAGCTGACATAAAATCTATGTTCTATCATCTCCAGCTAAATTACAGATGTAGTCAAACATCATTTGATCTTTCTGGAACTTTTCTGGCTTCCTTGCTTGCTTTTCTCATCTCTTCAATAAAGAGAATGTACCATAAATATCTTGTGGCTCATTCCTATACAGGGGACAAATCTCAGTGTCAAAGATTGCAACTTCAGTCAGCAGGTCAGCTTTAAACACATGTAGCCTGTCTGCCAACATCTAACAGAACTCATTGCTTTTTTTTTTTTTTTTATCCTCACCCAAGGATATGTTTTTGTTGACTTTTGGGGGGGGGGGGAGAAACATTGATGTGAGAGAAAAACATCTATCAGTTGCCTCCCATACACGCCCTAAATGGGGCTTGAACTGGCAACCTAGGTATGTGCCCTGACCCGGAATCAAACCTGCAACCTTTTTGTTTACGGGATGATGCTCCAACCAACTGAACCACCTGGCCAGGGCATTTTTTTCACAAAGGCAATTAAAGCATACTGCAAAGAGAAAAATTAGGTAGAATTGGGCTATCAGTGGCAATTAGTTTTGAAGAACAAACAAAGGAAAGGGGCCGGCACACATCACCCAGAATTCAAGACGGGCTTTCCTGCATTATCTACAACAGCAACAGAATGGAAATTGGTAAGATAGCTCACGTGAATTACATTTAGAATATAATTAAGATCTTGGTAAAAACCAGTTAATCATTCACACAAGCTATCTCCAAAGAAAATGAAAAAGAACAAGGTGTGAAGAGAAATAGAGGGCATTTGTAGGTTCTGAAGTGGACAAACTGTACTACCCAAATATTTTGGAAAACACCATCTTTTAAAATTAATCTTACTCCGTAGCTCTACAGAGTCAACAATGAGAGACATGGCAATCAATAAAAAACAAACAAACAAAACTTAAAACTGTCTGGAATAAAACTCAATTGTGCTTATGCAGAAATAGAACTTGCCCTGGCCAGGTAGGTCAGTTAGTTAGTGCATCATTCCAATACACCAAAGTTGAGAGTTCAATCCCCAGACAGGGCACATAGAAGAAGCAACCAATGAATGCATAAGTGGAACAACAAATCGATAATTCTCTCTCTCTCTCTCTCTCTCTCTAAATCGATACATTAAAGAAACAGTAAAAAAAAAAAAAGAAAGAAAGAAATGGGACTCTTCACTACTGCAGCTCACCTCCTGCAATAAATCAGATTCAGTGTCTTTGATTTATATGTAAACCAATCTTCCTGGTAGGCAAACTGACCTATGTTGTAGTCATTTATTTTAGTGCTTTCTATATATCATAAATGATAAGATTGGGGGAAACAAAAGCTAAATGTTTGAGGGTCGAACTGGGCTGACACTCACCACAAACTTCTCACCATTCTGCTCCACATGTTTGTATGTGGGGACCGATATGGGCACTGCTTGCTTTTCTGTGTAATCATAAAATGATTGTCCCAACGAGTCGTCACTGGGATCTAGGTTATCTGCCTCATGAGGAGGTACAGATAACACTGTCAAGATCAATTCCTTCTCGCCTGCTCGGATCAGGTCCACCACCTGCTTGTGTGTCGCCCCCTCAACATTCACGCCGTTCCTAAGGGGAAAAAGGGAAAAAGACAATCCCATAAACCAGAAGGGTCCAAACACCTTGTATCTCCACCCTCTTGCCCCCAATCCAGTGGCAGAATGAACCATAAAATCAAAAGATTAATTTGGTTCCAGAAAAGCTGTTTATGTTTTTACAGATCATAATATAAAAAAGTGTTGTGAACTCATGGCAGGGGGAAAAAATGGTAACAGGTGAAACAACCTACCCTTCCTCTATGCTAGAATTCCACACACAGCTTCAGGAAAACAAATGGGAAGGAAGGTGAAGCTGAGGAGAAAACAAAGCTTTTAAAGCTGAATAGTCCAGTCCAATATCTTCATCCTAACTAATCATGTATACAATACAATCAATGTGGCTTTCTATAATCCTGCCATTTAGCTGTACTTTGTCCTTTTTAAATCTCCTAGAAATTCTGTTAAAAGGAATTTCCCATAAAATGCATTCCCTTAATTTGTAAAGACTCAAAACGTATGACATAATTCTTTTACATTTGTATCTGATTTTCCCCCATATCTTCAATTAGTCAATTTTCCTTTATGACAAGTTTCATTACCTTGGCTCTTAAACAGTGTGTGTTTGTATGTACGTATATGTGTGTGTGTGTGTGTGTATGTATATATATTCATATTCATACACATTGGTTTCTTCTAACAGTTTTTTTTAAAGGCAATGTAAACCTCTCTAAAATTTCATTATCTGACTCAACTTCCTTTGTTCTTCCAATCACTTCTATTAATTTTTCTTATACTTCTATCTACTATTTTTCTGCTTTGTGCTATCTCACTTAAAGCCCTGTGTTTTTAGTTCACACTAAAAATATACATCTGAGGCTATGTAGTAAATCAACCTACTCATTCTCCTTCCTACTTCACTGTGTATAAAAAGACTGAAACTAGGAAAAGTATGAGGTTTGGAAGAACAATCATTTTGTCAAGAAAGATGCTGAGTCTCACAAAACTCACTCAGCAAACTGAACTACCTTCCCAGAATGCTGACCCAGCCTGCTTTCTCAGCAAAAACCATCAGGCAGCTGGCTGACCCAGAGGTTCCCTCCATGGCTATCCCAAGAGAGTTCAGAAATATATACCTGGCCTTCAGTCAATTTGATAAAATCTTATCTATCCTTTAAACTATTTTGCAGTCCTGTTCCAAACCATTAGTTTTTCCTTCCTGAAAATAATGCTAAGTTTAGTAATAAGCCTTCTATAAACTTTTCAATCAGTGGAATTGTCTCTGTCAGAATCTGGTATCTGAAACATCCATTTATATAAACAGGACAGACAGAAGATCACCCAGTTAGCCTCCTTCCTTATTTTGGGTTTAACAATCTAGCTAATAAATTCAGCACTCTGGATATTCCACAACCTAAATAACTTATACACACACACACACACACACACCAGTAAATTTACAATTAGCTAACACTAAAAGAAAATTAAGAGCCCCTTCCACTGATGGAAATTTGGACGTTTAAAATTTGAATCAGATCAGACTAATGAATAGGTAAAAATGGTCAACTCTGATCATAGAACAGGATGATAAAATAAAAAGAAAATGGGCTTCAGAACTAGATCTACATAGGTTCAAATCCCGATTCTGCTTTTTAGTATCAGAATTGGCCTTGATCACATTACTTAACCTTTTTTAGTGTTGCTTTCGCATCTGTAATATGGGGACAATAGTAAGTCCCCATATCTAACCTGAGTTTTCAAGTTAGAATACATTGCTCCTTGGGTCACTCACAGAAACAAGCCCCCAAAATAATCAGAGAAACTTCTGTGAAGCTTATTCCAAGAGCAGCCAGGGAGTAAGGGAGCTTGCTTAGATTTCACTTCTTTATTAGTAAGACCAAGCTTCAAATTGACTATAATCCCAAAAACCTCTTTAAAAACAAACAAAAAAAGAAAACAGGAAAGAACTACCACTGACACATTCTAAATACACTTGCTAGTATTTATTTGGTTCAACTACAGAAGGAATGCTGTACATTCCACAACTTAATATACAAAGCTGGAAATTCCTTCATTCTTCACAGAATGAAATAAAGTCAGTAAAAACCCCAGAATGTGCCCTGGCCAGTTTGGCTCAGGGGTTAGAGCATCAGCCCACGGACCAATGAGTCGCAGGTTCGATTCTGGTCAAGGGCACGTACCTCGGTTGCAGTTCGTCTCTGGCCGTGCTGGGGTTATTGTGGGGCAACTAGTCGATGTGGCTCTATCACGTCGATGTTCCTGTCTCTCTCCCTCCCTTCCACTCTATCTGATAATAAGTAGAAAAATATCCTCAGGTGAGGAATAAAAAACAAAACACAAAAACCCCAGGATGTCTGATTTCATAAAGGGCCCTCACCCCTCAAGAATTAAGAGGCCTTCACAGTCATAAACATGTTTATATAATATCCTTTTTCCACAAGAACACTACTATATGAGGTTCAAACTAGGTGTGGCCCAATTTGAACAATTCTGAAGACATAAATGAATGCAAACTAGAAATTCTGCAGTAAAGGTAATTTTCAGTAGCATAGACTTCTGGTTCAAAGCATGGGTTTTGGAGTCAGACACACTTGGGTTTGAATACTTAGTGTGCCATTTAACAGATAAGACATTCAATCTCACTAAGCCTCAATTTCCTAATCCATAAAATGGGGCTAATAATACCTACAGCTATCAGAGTTGCTGTGAGAACTAAAATGCGATAAAGCTCTAGAATATGGTAACCACTCAATAGTTATTCATGTGATAGAATTTTTATCAGTTGTACAAGCAAGTTGGTAGTATTTTTGCCTCCTAATAATACAAACCACTAATTTCTTTTGCCTTTCTTCTGTCTCCGCAACATGATCTAGTTGAAATTCATTTGAAAATACATCACTGAGCCCTGGCCAGTTTGTTCAGTGGTTAGAGTGTTGGCCTGCGGACCAGAGAGGCCCGAGTTTGGTTCCCACTAAGGGCACATACCTCATTTGCAGTTTGTCCTTGGCCCTGGTTGGGGTCGTGTGGGTGGCAACCACTCAATGTGTCTCTCTCACATGGACGTTTCTCTCTCTCTCTTCCTCCCTTTCTCCCTCCAGCTCTATCTGAAGATAAATGCAAAAATGTCCTCAGGTGAGGATAAAGAAAGAAAGAAAATATATCACTGAACTCTCAACCAATGATCACAAGACAGTCACCTTCATATGACCACTGCATCAGAGAACCACTAAGTCCTATACCACACAAAGTAACTACTGCCCAGTAGCATCTACCCATCTATGTTTCTTCAACAAAGAAAGGCAATAGCTTAAACATACTATCAAAAAATTTTCAACAGATATGCTATTAAACAAATATAGCAAAATGTTAATTCTAAAATACGTGACAGGTATGCAAATATTCACTGCGCAATTCCTTCAAGTTTCCTGTTTTTGAAGCTTTTCAAAACAAAATGTGGGGTGGGGGAGAAGGCTACCAAAAAACTCCAACAAAATGTTATTTTCTTAGGCAACTAGATGAGATGATACTCAATTTACTCTGTGTCTTTAGCACTATAAAAGTACACTTGACAATTTAAATAAATTTCTGAGGATATGTTTTTTATTGATTTTAGGAAGAGGAAAGGAGGGAGGGAGAGAGCGGGAGGGAGGGAGGGAGACAAGGAAGGAGAGGGAGAGGGAGGGAAAGAGGAAGTGAGAGAGGGAGGGAGAGGGAGAGAAACATTGATGTGAGAAACACTGAGTGGCTTTCTCACACACACACCCTGACTGGGAATCAAACTCACAATTTTTTTTTTTTTTTTTTGGTGTACAGGACAATGCTCCAACCGAGCCACCTGGCCAGGGCAAAATTCTCCTCATTTTTTACATAAGACCAAAATTGGGCCCCATCGGAAAAGCCTTCAGCTAGCTAATGGGAGTGGCTTTAAGTAAGACTTTTATTCAACTAAAGTGACCCAGCTGAGGCAATTGCAGTTAATATACACACTCTCAGAAACAAAAAAAAAAGTTCTAAATAGTCAAGATTTGTTTTTATGTAGTGCTTGTACAGAAAGTTATATATAATGAAACAAGATATAGATGGAAATATGACAGAGCCGATCATTATATGTAACACAAGAAGGAGCCATGCTAAGTGGTAAGCAAAATATTATTTTGAACCCCTGTGATATTCAAGAAATTAACTAAAGGGTAGTTAGTCCCTCAGAGGCAGTCTGTAAAATATAGCCAATGAATCCCATAACTGCAAACAATAAGATATACTTTTCAATTTTGTAGATTAAAACACAATGGCTACATGTCCACAAGAATAGCCCAAATAAAAAAAGAGTGACAAAGCCAAGTATTGCTAAGGGTGTGGAAGAAATGGAATTCTCATACATTGCTGATGGGAGCATAAAGTAAAAACAACCTGGCAGTTTCTTAAAATGTTAAACATACATTTACTATATGAGCAAAAGAAGTGGGACAGAAAAAAAATCTGATTGACTTGATTCCATTTATTTGAAGCTCCAGAACAGGCAAAACTATAGTGATAGAAATCACATCAGTGGTTGTCTTTAGGGAATGGGGGAGGATGGAGGTGAGGATGGATGGAATGAGTATTGAATGCAAAGAAAAAACACAAGGAAACTTTTTGAAGTGATAGAAGTGTTCTATATCTTCTTTGGGGTGGTGGTTAAAGGGGTCTCTACTTTTATCAAAACTCAAAACTCTACACTTAAAATGTGTGCATTTGACTGTACTTAAATTAAGCCTCAATGAAGTTGATTTAAAAATAAACATTACATAATATCCTCATTTATAAATATGAACTAGTAGTCCATCCCCATGAAACATAACCTCTATTCTACTTTTAGATTACTCTTCATTGTTTTGCTTTTATGAACAATGTTGTTATGAAGGTCCTAGCAGACCCCTATATATACCTGCAGTATGAAATTGTTAAAACAATTGATAAAAACACATCCTTTTTCCTTCACCTCCCATATCTTTGTGAAAAATAATATAAACC